ATGTTTAGAAAAGTGTATTTAATGCATATATTTTACTTTTAACATAAATAAAATATACTTATTTATAATAATTATAATACACACATATTTATAATAGTTTTTGTGTACCAACTAAATAGTTGTATTTGCTGGTACACTATAAAAAATACTCTAATAGATTTCCTGAACTTTTTCAACTAAATATTTTCTAATTATTCTGTATTATGATCTTAAAATCGTTAAAGAGTAAAAGTTATTTTAATTTTTATATTCATTTGCTTGATTAAATATACTTATTATATTTCCGCGTGTAAAAAATTTTAATGATTATATTTTACATTTTCTGAAAGAGGAATGCACCGTATTTTTTTAAATAGTTTGTTTTCTTTCAGAGTAGCAAAAAAATACCGCGACTGACGAAAGAAAACACTCAAATCAACAACAATGCTCTTAAAATGTTCAGAGTTAGGTTTTACTCGAAAAAAAAATTTGTGTGTAAAGTTTTAGTGTAGCCGAATTCAAAAATCAATGTATTATGAATTAAAATAATGGGATGTATATTCTTACGGAAGAGGCAATAAATCTCTGTAAAGTATGTTCTATACTACTTTTTATTGACCCTACAGCGTTTAGAGAGCTACTTTAAGCCCAGAAGGGGGCACAATAGATCCGACGGTCGCAGAGCCACATCCTCTAACAATAATAATAATACTAATAGTAATATATATTATTAATTAATAAAAGCTTTATGAAATCATTTAAACACATTTTATCTATCAATTAATAAATACAGAGATTTTATTTAATAATTAATTCTTTAGTGCCTTTGTTTACATTTTACATATAAAACATATGACACATATTTTTTTTTTAAGGGTTGCATTCGACATTTTTCGTTTTAAATGAACTCATTCATTAATAATGATCTTATTTAGGTACATGTAAGATTTTCGTATGATAAATCATTCTCATTAGTGGCTATAATAAGCAAAAGCGCCTAAATAAGTCAATGTGAATGTGTTATTAGTCATTCTTACAAATTTTTATTTATTAATAATTTTATTATTGTTAAATAGTGATATTTACTACTATTTACTACCTATAGATAAATTATGTAACCTTCATGGTTTTTCAAATCTGTAATTCTCGATAAATTATGGTATTGATACTACTTTACCAAGTCTTATTTCTTTATCCGATATATGATATCCGCCTTTGTATTTCTTTTGCTTATGCATTAGCACCGAGCTGACTTTCAGCAAGTTCTTTGCGGTCTCATTTTATAAAATCATATAAAAATCACAAATTTGTCTAGAGTAAATTTCCAGGTTAGTAAGGTAATAATTCCTAAATTCTGAAATGTCCTATTAAAATACCTGTAATAACTTTTAAGTTGTTTTTTTCAGTTTAATAAAACCTTTAGCTGGAAAGTCTTTTAAAGTAGGTTGTAAGCCTCTTCAAGAAATGTTGGCTCTGAAAGCCCAGATCATTTTTTTATTACAAAATATGATATATATTGTCTTCTATACATGTAGGGGTGTTAAAATAGATTCGACAATTGTTTTTATGAATTATTCACGTAATTTTTGTAGTTTTGGTTGAAGTTATTGTTATTTAATAATTGTATTTTGAAAATCCTCATATGTCTCCAAAATCTTTTACTTCCTTCGGAAACTCAGATATGAAATTATAGAACCCCTAAATTCATCACTAACACTTTGTTATAGTCACTATTGATGATTTTTCCGTATATGCCAGTAATAAGTCTGTCAATATTTCAATTGAAAGTAATATTTTGGAGTTTCACTTATCAAAATCCCCCTAAAGCTATAAAACATTCACTTTTGTTGGTTTTTCCCATAACCCAATAATAAATCTGTCAATATTTCATTTCTTTTAACTTGGAACTACTATTTTCTAGTTTCACCTATCAAAATAACCCAAAACTATATAATATTCACTAAGGATAGTTTCTCCCATTTAAAAGTAATCAAACAGTTTTATTCCAGTCGCATTCTATTATATTATACTTAAATCATGACCTCTTCCATCGTCTGTTATGTATTTTCTTGGCGGTTGTTGCTCGTGATAGATATGTCATTGTTGCATTACTGAAATCGTATAAATGAAATGCAGAAAATAAGCGTTTTTCGTTATCTTTTTTTATTTTGAGTTTTTCGCATGTCCACTTCATGACTATTTTATGTCACACCTTTCCGTATACCTATTAATGCGTTTTCTATCGACTTCTCTAGTTTTCATGATTTTTCTTGAGTACTCAGTTTTCTTTATAAAGTAAAATAAATAATAAAAAATAATATTAAGCTCGAAAATAGAATAATTTGTCATATGATTAGTAGTTTTTACATAAATGAATACATACATGAATTTTTATATATCATATCACAAGGTATACAAAAATAAAAAAAATTCCAAAAAATGTTTATTATACAATATTCAAATAGTAAATAAAAATCCAACAAGTTGACGTTAAACAGCTGTGCCTAGGACACTTTTTTTTTAAGTAATATTGCCCAAAATAGAAAACGACGTCATAAATATAATGAACATTTTATATAGTGAAGTAACTGTGCGTGTTAACATAATTATATGTCATTACTCGAGTATTGCTAATTAAAGACTGAATTACTCCTTCCGGATTTGCTATTTAAGAAGAAGAGTATCATTAATGCGTTGTTGTTATATTTGCGGCCAACTCTACTGGAAATACTATTAAAATACTATTACACCAGAAATGGCGAAGGATGAATTTTCTATTTCCTTTAAGTTCTCGAATACCGTTAATTCCATATACTGCGCATGTACGGATTGTGTCATGCAGGACAACAACAATGAAATTTCGATTTTGACAGAACAACAGCGAGTTCAGTACGAAAAGGAAAGTGCAAAAATTTGTTGTGTCAAAAACGCATTTCATGAAAATTTTGCATTGAGTTGTTAAATTTGAATTATTAAATTCAAGATAAAACCAAATAAAGTTGAAACAAATGCATTTAAACCACTGTCATTGGAGTAGTAGTGGTATATTGCAGCCAACATGTCCAATTTATCAGCGAAAACATCACCGATAGGAGCACGACGCGTACGAACAGATTTGAAAACATCTGAAAATATTTTTCTTGCCAAGTATAGCAATCGGTCAAGAAAAACCTCACCAATTGGCATAAAACAAGTGCCAAACCACTACCAACAACAGCAGCAGCAGCAGCAAAACCATCACTTCAAGGAACAAAACTATTACCAACAAACGCATAGGTCCATTGTACCAGCAATAAGTCAGCAGGAACAGAAGCAGCACAACACACGCATACCGAAAGCAACTGCCAATTTAGCGCAAACTCAAAGTTCAAGGCGAACTTCAACAGCAACTGTTGCAACTAACAGATACTCTATTGCCGCAAATGCCTTTAGCAATATTAAATGTACAAATTATTTATCCACAAGTGCGCCAACAGATACATATGCAACGGTTCCGAGGTGCAATACTGAATAAAATTATTTATTTCATTTAGTTGTTCTTTATTGATTGTTAGATAAATGCAATAATTTCTTATACATTTGTTCTTAATTTATTTTTTTAATTAACATTTTTAAATTAATTACACAATATTTTTTCTTCTTTTCAGTGCTCACTTGCCCGCACGTGCAACCCGTCTACTCAATCGTTCTCGCCTGCAACAACAATGTCCCATTAGCAACGCCGATTCCGACAGTTCCAAGTCTGCACACAGTGTACGACGCAGTGTGGCTGCATCACGTGCTTCCTCTGCTTCGACAGCATCGAATGCCTCATTGCACCGCAACACACATCTGCATCAACGGGACTCACACAGCTCCTCGGACGATCTCATGCTGTATGATAAATCATTTCGGAATGCAATGATACAGGAGGTACTGCAATTTAAAAAGCAATTGTTGCGTTTGCGTCGTATACTGCAGGAGGTAAGTTGAAGTCGTAGCTTTGGAGTTTTGGAGTGAAGTTTTTATGGAGTTGAATGCTCTTTAAATTTATTTTATATTGAAATTGATTTTATCTTTTATTTAGAATTTTTCTTTTATTTTTATTCTTATTTTTATTTCTCTTTTTCAATTGTCTTATAAACTTCTCCATATTGGCACTTGGCACTATGGCACTTTGCATGCTGTTTTATCAATTGCACCATCATCCTTCTTGCTTCCTTTGGCTTGCCTTCAAATTCGAATTCCATTTTAATTTCATTAAAATTTTATTTGCTGCTTGGCATTTTGTGTAATAACATCAGGATGAAGACGGTTTGACGAGGGTACGTTATCATTTTTTATCATTTACATTTTAATATCTTTTATGTTATGCTTAATTTATTAATTTTTTATTATATATCATATACCAAAGTTTAATAATGAAGACCACTGACCATGGGTATGCGAGTACTAACCACGCACTCGAAACTGCGTGGTCAGCTAAAAATTTCAATTAATTAATTTATAGTAATTAAAAAAAATGTTTGTTGTAATTTCACTACTGTTCGATAAAAACCGCTGTACTAAAAATAATATTTTATATATTAAGAATTTATTTTTTTTCTGCAAAACGAACGTTAAAAATTAATTTGATATAGAATCTAAATTTGAAATATTTTATGATATATATTAGACGACATAGGCCAATATAAACGAGTATAAGACAATTTTCATATCTAAACAAGTACAGATATTACTTTGGCTTTTCAGAAATTTAAATACATTTTCTATAGAATTCAAAAACTATATTGAAGTCTCAGTGATATGATTTGTATATATAAAATAATATATAACGACATATATGTAGTGAAACATATATTTATTCTACATATATGTATAATAATTTATGTATAATTTTGAATATTCGTTAAGGTTTCATTAATATAATATAAAGTCAACATAATAATATAATAGTCCTCAGGGACATCAAGATTGATCCCATCAAAAAATACGTAAAGGATAGAGCCCTGAAAGTAATTGCGAAACTGACAGACTTACCAACATCGCGTTATCAAATCTCAAAATGGTTACAGGCTCCTCGGGGAGGTATGCAGATCTGAGGTCAGTTATTGCTTAGTCTGATGAAGTGATAAACAATAATCTAGTCAAGATATGAAGAGAGGTTTTGAAAATAACTCGAGTTAAGAAAGAGTAAATGTGCTTAAGTGCACTGGCTCAAAACAGCTTCAACATAATATAAGAGTTCCGAAAGTGTTTTGATTCTACATTAAAGTGTCATTTATATGATAATATATAAAAAAATTTAATATCAAAAAATACAAGAAGGATAGAGCCCTGAAAGTATTTACGAAGACTGACAGGTTTACCAATACCGCGTTATCGAATCTCAGAATGATTTCAGGGTCCTCGGGGAGGTATGCAGATCTGAGGTCAATTATTGTTTAGTCTGACGAAGTGTTAAAGAATAATTCAGACAAGGCATAGAGAGGGGTTATGAAGAATCTCGCAGTTAATAGAGAGTAAAATACAAGTACACTGACTCAACTAGCCTCAACGTTATAATAATATAAAATATATATTAAAATAAAATATTTAAAAAATATCTTATAGTATGACATATATAATAATAAAATATATCAATTTATTAAATATATCGTCAATATATCGATATCAATATATATATAATATATCAATACCTAAATTTTGATTAAGAACCGAAAACATTGAAAAAAGTTTTTCTAAGTAAAATATATTCCTAAATCTTCGTTGAATTTGCGAGCTTTATAAAAAACTGAACCGATCAACCCCATTTTAATTAGACATGTTAAATGCACAAGTAATTTATATATTATTTTAAGTACATATATCAGGCAAGAAAAAAGTTTTTTAACAAATTGGCAGTATTCACAGGTGACGTTATTTAATTAAATTAAAATAAATAAAATTGAATTAAAGTAAGTTAAATTAATTTATTAAACTTCGTTGATCATACAGCTGTTTCAAGTATTGCCAAACCCCCAACCAAAAATTCAGTAAATAAACGCATAATAAAATTTTGTTGTTGTAAGTCACTACTATTCGAAATACTTTTCTTTTAAAACAATAGTTTCTATTAAGAAACATGGTTTCTTTTGTCTTAAATTTTAACAAATATTTTAATGAAATTATTTTGTTATACATAAAGATATATATATATATATATGTATCTCACGAATGCAAATATTTTCGTGCATCAAAATTTATTGTTGAATGAAGTATATGATTGTTGGTAAGAAACTGATAAAATTAGTGGCAAGTCCCTATAAAAAATGAAATATGTGAGTGTTTGATAAAAAGAGAAGATGACAATAGTGATTTCCTTATAAGAAACTTTCCAAACTGATTTGATTTGCATGAACCGACGAAAGTATTTATCTAACAACAATAGACTTAATTACCAGCAACCTGTACTCCAAACAGTTTTAATGATGCTGCAATTTCCTATAATTTTGCATTAATAAAAATGAAATTCATTTGTGGCGAATCATGAAGTACCAAAAAGAGAAGTCACCTCAGTGGGTCATGGGAGCATGCGAAAGATTTGCTTCGAGTTTTGTGTTATACAAAATAAATTTTTAAAAATAAAATAGCAACATTTTCTCATACCAACTGACAACTTTTTTGTGCAATTTTTTTGTAACAAAAATGCTAAAGTTGTCACCTTTTGCAATCTTCATGCTTCGAGCTTAGATACAAAATAATTATGGCGTGTCATTAAAAAACTTCAAAGGAAATGTCTAAAAATTTTAATCAATTCAGTTGTAAAATTAAGTGAAAAATGTGATGGTGTAGGAAAATGTTAATGATCGAATAAAAAAATATTGAAAAAAATAATTTATTTACTTTGAATATCGAGATACTTAATCAAAGTAATTGTAAATAATTAAATATTTTTGTTTTAATGTTTAGAGTTTATATAAAATAT